CTATCAAGCCTAAGTGTCAGAGCCCATAGCTTGGCACCTATGTTACACTCTCTCTTGCAGGGTGAGCTTTGATTCATTATTTCTAGTGAATGAACACTAATTACTGTTATCTTTATATTGTAGTTCACTAAAAGTACTACATACCCCATTTATCAGATAGATATGCACCATTTACTCTTAATACATTTCTGAAATACAGGTGTGGAAAGATGGAGACAGCACTGAACCCTACATGTACTATGATTTTTTCCTGCACAAATGTACCTATGAAAAGTTTAACTTATAAATAAAGCAAATAAGACATTAACAATAATAATGCAATAAAATGGAATGATTATAACTATATACTTTAATAAAAGTTATGTGAATGTGTTCTCATTTTTTCTGTATCTTTTGATCTCTTTCTCTTTCCATCTGTCTTTCTGTCTGTCTGTCTGTCTCTCTCTCTCTCTCTCTCTCTCTCTCTCTCTCTCTCTCTCTGGGCATGTATGTCTCTCTCTAACTGCAATTTTCCATTTTATATTTTTGGACTCCAGTTGAACACAGCTAAATGAAACTGAGAGGCAGAAAGGTTAAGGAGAGACCTCCGTATATATCTAGAAATGAATGGACATGATTTCTGACAGCATGGTAAGCTGCTGCATGGTCCACTGTTAAAGCCTGGCCTCTGTCCCTGCTGTATACTTACAGGACCGGATTCATTCATGGAAGGAAGCTCGTTCTGTAAAAAGAGGAGACATACTTAGGTTTCCAAAGGAGGGGGTGGTAAAGAGAAACTATAACTTATATAGGATGTTTTACAGCAATAATTCTAATCTTGCATCAGGACTTAAGAAACTGCTCACACATCTGGGGTTCTGCCAGTCCTGCAATTAGACACCATGCAGAGGCAGCTCTTTCTTCTAGATGAAATAGTCTTTCAAATGTATAGTATTAGTGTAGTGAATGAAAATAAGATTTAACCACTTATAGTAATTTTGCAACTGCAGCAATACAGACAATTTTGAAACAATTAATGATATTTACCTTTACATTGCTCTGATTTTGTCTCCAAGTCTTCTTCCCTGGTAAAGAAACGTCAGAGAAAAATTACAAACCACAATTAAAGTCAGCATGCTTAAAGAGAACACATACATGTTTATCAAATAATTGGAGTTAATATCTCAACATGTTTAGATTAGTATTTTTAATGCACACTATAGAAGACATTGATTGGTTAGACTTATCTGTATAATTCCAACTTCTTATCAAGCTTGATTTTGTTCACTGATCATTCTTTCATTCACTTGCCAAGCACCAAGCTTAGTGTCTGTGCTTATTATTATTTGCAGAGTTAGTGTTCATTTTGACAGAGAAATATTTAATCACATTTAATCATTATAGCACACAATAACTGAATCAAAAGACTTTCAAAAAGCAGAAATTCAACCTACTGATTAGAGCATCTACCATTTATTTGGCACTTACTGCTTATCAGGCACTGATTTAAGCCCTAAATGCTAATTTTCTTTTTCCATCCTCAAAACAACCCCAAGGTAGATAACTTTCATCCCCATTCTATAGATAAAGAGCTAAAGTTAATATCTTCTTCAAGAAGCAGAGGTGGTCTTTAATCCATGTAGTCTACTGTCAGGATACCTGTTCCTATCCAGTAAATAAAATGTTTTCAAAGCATATTATAATGCTCAAACAACCTATTTCATCAAAATTCAAAGCTGTAATGCTTATTTTTTAGAAGTCTAATTTACAAAGGTGAGCCCCTGTATTATTAAGCAAAGAGGCAGATATTCCTACAAATCTAAGGACACGCCTCAGAGAGTCAGTTAAATTCTTAATTCTCAAGGACACTAAAAGGTGATTATCCATAAAAGGTACATGGGTATCCTGTGCATGTGAAAGAAATATAATTTTTGTCCTTTGTTCCTGAGCTGCAACCCATGTAAGGGACATTTAGGAAAAAGATGTTGTTTTATTGACTGTATGCCTCATTTGTATTCACTATAAATGAACTTATGCTTATATAATTGTATATAAATATGTATTAGACTTAGTGGAAATTACAATATAGAATCATTTTCTCCATAATGATGTGTCCTATCTTAAAGAAGTATATATACACAGATCTACACCCATTATAAAAGGTAACTCAGAACAATGATTACTTTTACTAATTAATTCTTCCCAGATATACTGAGATGCCAAGAGAATATACACATGGCCTATGAGAAACATATCGTTTTCTGAAGAGTAAGTTAGATGTATTCATTCTTTCAAGAATGTAAATACAGTCTAAATGAGTGAGGGTCTCTACGATATGCTGAGCTCTATGTCTTGGGCTACATGGAGATGAGTTTTCAGTTCATCAAGTGAGATAGAAAACAGACAATCATGTAATGCTGGGGAGACAATGGGAGGTGTGTTAGCATCTGGATGAGCTGGGGTGGAGGACAGGAGAGGCAGGAAGGCCAAGCTTACTTGAAGGAAGTGGCCTAGAGGTAGGAAATCTGATGGGGATGTAAGATTATAGCATGGGGGCACAGAGAGGGGAGAATGCTCTGAAGACAGATGGTTTATCTAAGTGCAAAAGATGAGTAAGCAATGGAGGGAATGGAAAGAAACGGGGACAGAGCATAGGAACACAGAGAGATGGTTGCAGCTCTCTAGGCCACAGGTGACTTTGGCTTGGACCAGCAAAGTGGCAGTCAGGAAAACAGAGGGGATGACAGGAAGAAGATGGCTCAGAGAGACTCTGAGGTGGCCAAGATCCGCAGAGCACCCAAGTTTCTGAGGTAGGGTAGGAATGAGGAGGAGGAGCTGAGGTCCCATGCCAGGAGAAAGATCTGAACTATGGATACATAGCACTTCTCAACCTTTTGGCTAAGATCAAGAGGAAACTACAGATGCAGTTTTAGGAGACCAAGCTCTGCTTCACGTCTTATCCCACCCTGGCAATGTTGTCCATAACACTCCTTGCACTCAGTGTTAATTCAACAAATATTTGTTATGCCTTTCTAGTTGCCAGGCACTGTGCTAGGTGCAAAATTCTATTCAATGCAAAGAAAAAGTAGACAGACACAAAGAACAACAAAAAACAGTTTGACTCATTTTTTTCAAAACATTTGCTCCGTTTGGATTTGATTGGATGCTGTACATTTGCTTGAGCAATTAAGTCTTAAGGAATGGTCTGCAATAGACTGTTATAATTCCCATTACACACAGAGCAATGGGGTAAAATGGAAAAAGTTTGCAACATAAGTAATCTTTTGATTTCATTTACAAATCATGATGGGTAATGGCTGAAATAATTTATGTCATTTATTCATTAAGTGGCCTTCGGCCTCCTAAATACATTAGGCACACTTACACTGAATCAAGTCCAACTCCAAAGAAATAGTTGGATTACAGATGGTGTGGGAGACTTTAAAGTGAAAGAAAGTCTATTTCACTTTGACATTACTAATTGTTTTCCTTGTTTCTTTTTGAGTAGTTATTTTATGAGATATTAATTTCAGAAGTATAATATACTTTTTCAGCCATTTTCCAAGGTAAGTTCAATACTGAGAATAATGGGTGTTTGCTATGAAAAAAGGAAATAAGTCACTTTCAGGCAGAGATTTTGCTGTGTCTAGATGCCAAACTGGTTTTTCATGTGTACATAAACTTAGAAAATGTACTGATGACACAAAATATAATAAAGATGTGTACCTTTTGAAAAAAGTTTACATGCTTGAAAGAAAGAGTATCCAATTCCCACTGCAGAAAGAAAGTGTAAGGCCATTAAGTAAGAAAAGCAGAAAGAAAGAGGAAAAAGGAAATGATACCAAACAAAATTTGTGGGGTGACACATGACTCAGAACCCTGCACCTCAGCGTAAGGTGCATCACATTACAAGTTAACCCACTAGAGGACTAGCCAAGTAGCCTTAGAAAGAGGGAAGGGAAAGACTTGGTTCACTGGGTACTTCTGAGTCTGCCTGTTATTTTCACTTTGTTTTCATAATAGCCTTTGAAGTCAGTAGACGGTATTTTCCCTCTTCAGATACAACTGAAGCTCAGAGAAGCTAAGTGTAGTGCCTCAAGTCACACAGCTGATGGAGGTAGAAATCTAATGAAAGGCAACGTTTTCTTTTGATACTGGGAATCAAACTCTGTACCTTGCTTATGTCTCTGAGCTATATCCCTGGTCCCTGAAGTTTATCTTCTGCTTAGGAATATCAACCTGTTCTAGTTTTCCTTTTATAGATGATAGGTATCATTCCCTTGTTTTTCATTGCTGTTGCTCATTTTACCTTTTCCTAATATCTTTGATATTTCCACTATGTTCAGTTTTCTCAACATCATTAAGGCATTGATAGTTTTTAGAACATGTATCTATTTCATTACTATCACTTATACAAAACTTTCATCATCTTAACCTGGTTACCTGCTCTCATAATTATTTAAATCTTATTTATGCAAGAATCTTGGCACTTATTATCCCTGGTTTAAGACTTCTCTGAATTTCAAAGCAATTCCTTTACACCCATGGCATCCTGATTTTAGATTAGAAACCAAATTAATCCTGTGTTCACCGATCCCACTAACCCAGTGCCTCAATGACCAAATTACTGTGCTATAAGAGGTCTGAAAGGCAGATCAAAGAAAGCTTTGTCCCAATAGGCATATCTTATTTTTAGAGTAGTTCAACACCAGCACAAGGATAATTTTTTTCTCATAGAACTCAGAGTGTGGATATTACACTGTTAAAATAGACTATAAAGATTAAAACTAGGAAATGGACTCTGTCATAAGAAATTACCAACATTATTCTGTTTATCAGCACCTACTTTTAAAAAGTAACACATCCTGTTAGGTCATTCATATGTCAGAAGCACAAGAACCAAATAAGAGTTTACTAGATTTCTAATAAATATGTGTATGTGTTTATCAATAAAATTATGGAAAAAATATGTGTATGTATACACACATATATGTATGTCAGTTTCATACACTTTCCTCCACTTGCTGAAAAAGAGTGTGAGTGTAATGCTGGTAAAATTTTCATACTCATTTCTAAAGCAAAAATACTCAGTCCTGAAGTGTTCCTATCGTACACTATTCTGTGCTACTACTATAGCTTAGAACCACATAGAAATCTCAGTCTGCTTCCTGCCTTGGGCAATATCATTTGAACATGACCAAACATGTTTTAAAAAGCGTGCAGTTTATCAGTACTGTAGAACAAATTTAGCATTTACATCAAGAATAACAAAGTAAACAATACGAAAATGAGAAGAGACAGAGAAGGTGAATGCAAAAATTTTACCAGGTTTAGGTGAGAAAAATGGTACTCTGGACGAGATCACATTTTCAGGTGCAGGTACCACAAACTGGACTGGTCTCACATGCTTCTCTATCGGGTTTTTGAAACCAGCCTGCTGGTTCTCAAATATGCTTCTAATATTTTCAAGTTTGAGTTGTACAGTCTGCATTTGAACCTGTAGGTTGTGTAATAATTCTATGAAATGTTTCCTGAAGTAATGTTAGAACACACTATCACATTCCTCAGAGTTGAACTAAAAAATCAATTTAAAGTCCAACTACAATTGGAAGAAATTTAGGAACAGAACAGAAAAGAGATTATGACATATGCATATAACCAAGATTTCAATCAAAATGGGGGAAAATGTATCATGCAGTCATAAAACTAGTCATTGCATAGAGCAAATTGTCCTCACAGGCTAGAAAACAAGGCTCAGTATTCTTTCTTATTTAGTAGGAGAAAGCAAGGCACCACATCATGACAACCATGAAGTGAACACTGTCATAGTATGTCATTGTCTGCAGGATATATTCTGATTTTCCAAGGTACAAAGGGCTCCTTAGAGCTGCTGATGGATAATATATCCTTCTGCCTCTCCTAGATGCTTTGAGGCAGCTAGAGTTAAGTTGGGTTGCTTCGAGAGAATCACTTGCTTAAAGGTACAATCACGTTTCTAACTTTTCTGACAGTGCTGGCAAACATATGGCACGTGTGCCACAGTGGGCTGGCTGTATCGCTGAAAGTTCCAAAAGGTTTGCCCTAGGATGTGCAACCAAGCACAGATTTAGATACTGCTCCAACCTTGGAATCAACTACACATTGTACCAGTAAAGAGCATACAAATGCTTTTGGCTACCAAGGACATTTCCAAAGGCACCATACTGAACTAACCAATAGCTTTCTGCCTTGCTGACTTCAATTTCTTCTGGCTCCCTCTTCCCCAAGATCCTTCATATCCCTTTGTTCTCAAGCAGATAATACAAGCCAGATCTGTGCTCTTGAAGTATCTGCAGCTGGCCACGCCAACACAAAGGAAAGATGCTTGAGGTGGACTGCTACTTATTTATTTACTTGGCACAGGGTCTTGCTATACAGCTCAGACTTGTAGTGATCCTCTAGTCTCAACCTTCCAGCACTTGGATTATAGGAATGTGCCACCACACCTTGTTTAGGTGGTCAGTACAGCATGTGGTACCTGGGATCAAGCCCGGGTCCTTGTGCTTGCCAGGCAGGTGCTTAGACTACTGAGCTATCTCCACAACCTGAGGTGGAGTGCTCTTAATATGGGCCCAACATCCCTGAACACTTCTGCGCCTTTCTTCAAGGATACATGTGAAATATATGTAAGTGGTCCAGTATGCTGGAAGCATTTGAAAATAATGGAGCCAATGATCAAAAAGAAGTATACACCTTTGGACTCTGTAATGCTTGATAGTGCACTATCCCTTCTTACCCGTAAAAAGGGTATAACATGCAGGATGACCTAAAGTTAGCTGGAGGTTCATAAGACTGTCATACCACTGCACATAGCGGGGTTTCTTTTAATATATTTCTTAGGATAGAAGCTTCCTACCTTGAGTTCGGGAGATAAAATCACATCAAATTCATACTGCAGTGATTCCAGGTCATAATTTATAAATGGCAGAGCCATTGTAAGAAAATTTTCAACGTCCTGAATAGCTTTTTTAGCATCTTCTTTAGACTGAAACTTGTCTACCTCTTGATTGGCTAGAAGGCATTCCCCTTCATCACAGCACTGGCGAGCCTGGTGAGAAAAAAAAGAAAGAAAAGAAAAAAAAGAAGTAGGAAACAGAGTGGGCATTAGCCCTTGCCTCTCCAAATCAGAACTGCTTTCAGAGCTATTTAAATTAAAGATATGTGGGTTCTGCCTCCAGAAATTCTGATTTCCGTAGCTCTGGGACATAAGCCAGACATTCATACTTTCTCAGAGCTCCACAGGTATTGCTGATGTAAAGTCAAGGTTGGGAGGCCTTGCATTTATTTCATAACAAGTAATTTCTTCTGCAGCAGGAGTCAAAGCCTTTTCTCCTCGCTTTAGTTGCATGTTATTTTCCAAAAATCAGTATCTGAAATATAAAACTCCTAAGAAATACAATGTCATACAAATGCCTAATGATTTCCATGGGCAAGAATAAAGGATTCCTGACCTCAAAAAGAAGATGTACAGATTAAGATGTGTATGTTCAGATATGTTGTAAGTGATACTCCTATTTTACACACCACTGACCAGAATACATCTGTGTAGCGATCTTTCTATTCATTGCCTACTTATAGCAGGAGTTATAACCCACAGGCCATGGAGAGTACTTTCAAATCATTACAGTTGTTTTTCCTGTACTATCAAATACAGAAGGAAGTTTGGCTTCAGCAAAATGCATACCAGGTTTTAAAAAGGTATTTTGACTACAAACCATCTCTAATAGAGACTTTAGAGATATACTCAACAGAAAACGGAACATATTTCCACCATTGTTTTGATATTCATAACAGAGGACAAAATTTTAACTATACTGGCTCTGCCATGAATATGGTATAAGCAGATGGGTTGAAAAGTAATAATCAAACTCAGTCCTTAAGATTTATTAAAAAGTTAAATCTAAAGTTACGTCAGACCCTGACCCTATTAATCTCTGGGAAATTAACAAGCATCGCGGCAGGCATAAGGGCAAAACATACATCAGGCCAAGAGGATCCAAAGAAAAATTGATAGTTTCTTTAAGATGCGGATCATTTCCCATCATACTACCTGTTGTAGTAGTTTATGCATCTTGAAGGTCCTGCTCAGCTGTATCTGTTTTGATTTGATCTCACTAGTCAAAATATCAGAGAGGTAACGTAGTTCATTGCACCTCTGGCAGATTAAATCCAGTGCATAATGGTGATTTGCTGCAAGTCTGTGTCCATGTAAGATCAGAAAATGGGCTTTCGCTAATAGATCCTGATTTAAAGAAAGCAAGCAAATAATGATTAGAAAGCAAACTGAGCAGAGTAGATGCACTGCCACAACGTGATGTGATGACGTACTTACACAGGCTGCAAAAAGCTCACAGTTGCAACATAAGCTTCAGAAGTGATGTCATTAGAATCTCACACATGTCTAGTTACAGAAATTGCAAGGGAATCACCCCATTCCACCCTAAATGGGGACATGATATATTGTGTCTCGTATGTACCCATTTAAAACACAACTACACATATCAAGTGAGGTATACACCAGCTAGATGAAAACTAATGTACTTCATATCATTCCAGTCTTTGAAATCCCATGACAGTTGTTACTGACCCAAGTGCTTCTAACATATCGAAAGTGAATGTCAAAGTGACCTGAGCCGCCTTGCCTCCACTCTGCCAAGTAATCACACATCTGTAGTGTCACCCCAGGTGCACAATGAAGAAAAATGAATTTAGACCAGCATCATTGTACAAACTATACAAAATGTTGATAGGAGAGACAGCACATTAAGTGCTTGTATTGCTTAGTACTACCAGAACATAACTGTTATCTCCCATAAATGCAGTAAACATCTAAAATGTAATCTTACCTGAGAATTTTCATCTAAGCCTTCCAGTTGTTTAATTTTTTGCTTTACTTGAGCTATATTCCCTGTTACATCACCCAGCTCTGCTTGTTGATTTAACAGAATTTCAACTTCAGTCACAAGCTGAAATTAGGAAATACATAGGTTTTTAAAACATACAATTTATTATGTATTTTTATGTATTTTTCTTTATAATTAAATTTTGTAGGAAATCCCTTCAAGCAAGAATACCATGATGGAAAATATTACACATATGGAAAACACGTTCACCTATTTTATTCAAAGAAATAGGTATAATCTCAAAATGTAACCTTTGAGATATCACTGTATATTTGTGATTGACAGAAAATCACTATGTAGGGGCCGGGGAGATGGCTCAGTGAAATAAGCACTTCCCTGGGAAATGCAAGGGCCTAAGTTCAATCCCCAGTTCCACAAAAAAAAAGAAAGAAAATCACTATGTACACACACACATGCCGTCATAAATATGCAGACATGTCTTTACACTGACGTGAATATATACATCACATATATTCTCCAGTTCTATGGTGAATGATCTCAAAAGCAAAGACCCTACAGCAGCAATTAGCACACCTAGAACCCAGATCTTAATTTTTAGTTTCCTTTTCCAGAGGAAAACACAGGGTTACATGGGAAGATTTCTGTTTCTGAGATCAACACAGAAGAGATACAAGAGGAGCTTGTATAATATCTCTATGCCAAAAAGAAAATAATTTGTTCTATGCTAACATGCCACAAGGACAAAGTCACCAGCTTTGAATAGTGACATAATTAAGAACAGTAATAAATTATAAGCTACAAACAATCTATAGATCAAATAAGTAAATGAGAAAAAAGAGAAGGTTCTTGCTTTAGCACAATGCCTACTGAGGAAATATACATGTTATAAATCAAAATTTTGCCACTTACTAGTAAAGATTGGTTCAGGAGAGAATCATTAATGGATGCTATGGATAATTTTTCTTTTGTTTAGTTATACTTTATTCTATGGTACATAATGATTACATTCATCATAGGCAGCTGGCTCGTGTACATAAGACATCTTCATTCTTCCTACATCCCCTTCCCTTCCCTTCCTTCCTTCTTCCTCTATCTCTTAGTCTTCTTCCCTTTTGCAACAGAACCATGAACATTCTCACAAGGAGCAACATATTCATTTGTTAAATTTTCTCCCCACGTATTTTCTACTACCCCGAAGGGTTGGAGAATGAGTAACTATTCTGTGGAGAAATTCACCAACACTCTGGTTCACCAAAATCTGTATCAACAATAGGGGACAGGTGAGCAACAGCCACCTCTGGATGTGATGGCATGAGACAGGCACATCACTGTGCAGTGTTCTGCTCGCTCAAATACAGACTAAGCTGATCATGAGATGGTCTCAAATAAGCTAAAAATGAAGAAATATTATTTTTAAGACTATTCTTCAAAATATCAGGGTTATAAAAGACAAAGCAAGATTGTACAAATATTATGTTTTCAAAGGGTCTTGACACAGGGTCTTGACACTAATGCAATAGTAGACCCTAGATTAGGTACTAGATTAGATTGGACTCATAGTGATTCTCCTGTTTTCAGCCTCCCAAATACTGGGATTGCAGGCACGTGCCACCATGCACAGTCTCAATCACTGTCTCAGGATTGAACCCTGGCCTCTACGCTCTGCCTAAGCAGACACTTTAGTCCACTAAGCTATCAGGCCAGCCCTAGGACCTCTTTCAAATAATTGACACAATTGGAATATAGATGGTAGACAATATAAAAGTGTTGGATTTTTGTTAAAGATACTTAACTTCAAAACTGGACTGTGCATGAATATATTTATTATTAGGAAAAAACAAGAAAGTTTTAGGGGAAAGAAGCTATAAGGTATACAAGTTATTCTCAAGTGGGTCAGAAAAAATACCATTTGTCAGAAAAAATATTATATAAACACAAAAAATATTACACACACACACACACACACACACACACACACACGGTAAAATGTTAATTAACCTGGGGATAAGCTATGCAGATGTTTTTACATTTTTGACATTTGTAACTTTTCTGTAAGGTTGAATTCCCAAGTAACTTCTGTAACAAATGTAAGTGCCAATGTCTCTGCCGAATGTGGCTGCAAGGCACCGTGAGGCACAGCCTGGACTGTTGAGATTCCAGTGTAAAATAAACAATACTGATTAGAGACAGCAATAGACTGGAGGAGACAAAACACAAGCACAGAACAAGGATGTGGAAGGGCTACAAATGACACGTAAGTGATACATAGTTGGTATGCTCAACAGGGTCTATTTTGTGAGATGGAGGCTGGAGAAGGAGAGACGCAGATCACCTGGATGGAGCTAGAACAATTTAAACTATTCTTCCTTTAAGTAAGAAACTGGAAAAATGGCATTTCAAAACCTGTTTGAATGAAAATATGAAGAAGCCTGGTAGTCATAAGCCCTGTGTCAAGAAGTCAGTGTTCCTCCCATACGTAATTCTTCTAGACCAAATAAAATAGCATGTGAGCCATTCACAGGAATAAAATAAGTGAGGCATATGAGGAGAGGAAAGGAAGTTTTCTTTGGTGAGCTCTGTCAAGTTCTTGGTGGCTTGTGAGGAGCTTGGTTGGGATGCAATGGAAATGAAAGAAAGGAAAGTATGTGTCTGGACAATGTACAATGGACTGTTCAGAAACTGGAATAGACTTTCAGTCATCTTAAACAATGTGGATCCAAGCATGATTTAATTTCATCTATCAGGCTCTTCATAGAAACAAATTCCTGAACTAGAAGTTTGTTAGAATCTCTGGTGTAATGAAAAGAAATATAAAAAGAAACGTTTTAACTCACCTCTTGAAAATCTTGCTCAAACTTCCACAGTTGCAGATATTGCTCCATTTTTAATTGGTGTTTTTCCCAAAATCCATCAAAAGCTGTTTCCATATCATGGACTTGAGCTAGCAATCTGAACAAAGAAAAGTAAAAGAATTCCTTAGAAACAATAAACTTTCTCAATAAAATTATGGAAAAAAAATAAATTTCCATGTGGAATATTATACAATAATGAGAAAAATAATTTACAATAAAAATGAATATCAAAAACATAATGTTAAACAAAAAAAGAAACAATAAACTGTGTTGCAGAGACAAACATAAAGCTGGTCTGCATGCTGAGAAGGGAAGGCAAGCACAGCCTGCAGCACTTGGTTCCAGGTTTCTGCTTGGTTCTGGCAGAAACAGTCAGTGACCACATAGCTCTATTGCACAAGCATCACTAATCTCTGCAGGACAGCATAGGAAGAAATCCCCAGACTTGCAAAGGTCCAGGAATACATATACACTGGATGGACGGGGGCACAAATGGTCACTGCCTTTGAAAGTACAAAATAAGTGAACCCGAAACAAAAAAGAGAGCACTCACTTGTTAATGGTTTGCCAGTCACCGTTTATATGCTGATGACGTTCAAGGCTTGAACTGACCTCTTCCTCAGCATCAGGCACTTTCAGGTTTGTCAGGAGAAGTTTTCCTTCTTTGGTCACATTGGTAATGTCATTCTGTGCAAAGGCAGAACATGACACATCAGCCAGTTTGTGATGCAACCTCAGTGGCCACAAGAGGAGAAACACATCTAAGCTGTGCAGAACAGCAACACCAGCAGTAGAATGGCCTTGGGCCCTCACAGCTGTCTGGGAAATCAAGGTACATTTCAGAATCCAAAAGCTCTGAGATGCTTGTACGCCCCAGTCTTAGGGATGGATGCTATAGTCTTTTTTATTTTATATATAAAACTGTTACAGGCTCTTTGTGGCCACCCCTTTACTAGTAGCAAGTTCTAATCTATTCCATTTTATTGTACTTTTAAGGTATTCAAATAAACCAAGAGTAAAACAGTAAAAGCTAAGACACCAGAAATTATAGTTTCAAAGAATGTTTAATGCATGTTCAGAAACAACGATGTATTTTCTTAGTAATGATTAATTATTGCCAGTCCCTGCCTTATGGCTTATTTTACTTCGCATGTGTGTTTAATAAGGCATATGTTTCCATTAGGAAAGCTCTGTTCTTTTTTAAAAATTTTATTGAGAAACAAATAGAGATGAGACAGTTTCAAACCAATTAATAGGACAGTTTCAATAATTAATACATTGCATATTGTTGTCTTCATAGTGGTTATTCATAGAACAAGAGGCAGTCATGATATTCTGGCCAAACCTTATTAGTACAAATCTTTCTTCCCATTCAATCAAGAGAAAGTAGCTATATATCTATCTTATTTTGTATATACAGATACAAAATTGTTCTTCATTTGTATCTCCTTTTTTGTTTAGTTTTGTCAGAGATGGGTATTCCATTGCCATTTAAATATTGTAGGTGC